TTTTTTCTAAAGTTCTTCTAAAGTCATTTTCTAATATTCAAATAATTTAATTACTCAAATAACAAAATAAAAACCATAAAAAACACTTAAAAGCATCAATATCGTGGTCTCAAATGTATTGCCCATGATTTGAACAACGAAATATAGTAAAACATATACCAAATATGTGCAAGTAGGTGTTTTTTTCTTAATAAATGAGTTGTATTAGGGTAATAAAAAAATATGTTTTTATATTGGGATGGTGGTATTTAAAGTAAATTTTAGATTATATTGGGATGAATAATTTAGGAAGAAAGAATATTAATTAATATCATTTTTGAAATGGAATGACCATTCAGCTGTTTCACTTTAGGAATTGTTATTCAACTATTTGATGGAATAATAATTCCATAAGAATAGCGATTCTTAAGTCTTTTTATCCAACTAAACATAAGAATATATAACTGGATTTTAAGAATTATCGTTCCATTCTAATGATTCCACTGATCAATTAAATATACAACAGAGGATACGAATATAAAAACATAATGTTTTCTTTATATATATAATATATGTATATATAAATTTAAACTCTAGATAATTTAAACTCAAAATCTTAATATTAAGGTCAGTTTGGAATTACCTTCAACCGCGAGTATAATAATGTTGATGCTATGATGCTAACACAAGATGGCTGTATACTGAAAGTCTTTTTTTTTTTTTTTTTTTTTTTTTTTTTTAATGTAAAGATGAGATTATTATCATGCGATAGCCATCTCAGCACTTATAATAAACAAAATACACTACGGAAACTCCTCTAACTAATACTGGTGAGTGTCTATCGAGAAGCATATTTTACTTACATTGACGTGTGACAAAGCCACATGAACTACCACCAGCATGACTTAGCAATAACCTAATATCAGCTAAAAAAATTAAATTTTTTTTTAAAAAAAGTCAATTTTTTAATCATACCTTCACCATAAGTATCATCAATCAATATTTATAGCAAACTAGCTTGTGATAAAACTAGCCAATTAACTCAGACACTATATTTAAAAAAAAAAAAAAAAAAAAAACTCAGATGTGCTATTTAAAGAGGTAAAAAATATATATAATTTAAGCATAATTAGACTAGATATAGCATAATTTGACGTAAAAAAACATTTCGCATAATACGTATAACCCCAAAAGGCAACGGATGGCACAAATCACTTCCATTAAACTCCCGGAATATTTTACACACACACATATATATATATATATATTTATATATATATATGTGTGTGGACAAATAAAAAAAAAAAAAAACAAGATAACAGATGATTACAATAACAGAAAGCAACTGCAATTTTTGGATGCAATTTATGCGGGCGTTTCTTTGTATATACTTAATCGCTCGATATGGTTGCCGATATGCATGGAATATTAATTACACTTTGATTGGAGGAATCACTTTGAAATGCTGTTCAGAATGAAGTCAGTTTATTGGCTAAGTGCATTACCAAGTTAAACACGCGAAAAGTTTTGTCTCTTCTGTTGGAATATAATATATAGATAAGATAATTTATACTTTTTTTTTTTTTTTTGAAAAGGAAAATTGCATTCAAACTAAAACAGTCATACAAAACACTACAAAACAATGAAAATGAGACTGCAGTACAAAAATATAACCTCAATTTAGACTGGTTCACAAGTACAATCTGAGGCCTGAGTTCAAAAAAGTACCTCAACACACTAGGGGTCCGTTCATTTCGTTGATTCGAGTTTATAATTTGAGTTGAGATGTGATTTTATGTGAGAGCTTTTTACTGTAGCAAAAAAGTTACATGTGATTATTTCTGAGAACTTTTTATTGTAACAAAACTCAAATTCTAAACTCGAATCGGTGAAGTGAACGGAGCCTAGGATCACACACACATAAATAAAGTTTCTTTTTGACAAAATCTAATTTACAGTTAATATGAGAAGTTCATATCAATCAAGTCAAAACTCTGTAACACAAAGCTTGGCATAGGAACAAATCTAACAGAAATTAAGGTCCCGTTCATTTCACCGATTTGAGTTTATAATTTGAGTTTTGTTACAGTAAAAAGCTCTTTGAAATAGTCATATCTAACATTTTTTATTACAATAAAAAAGTATCATATAAAGTTATATCGCAACTCGAATTGAAAATTCGAATCAACAAACTAAACAGATCCTAAATAAATAAAGCAAACAAACCACCGAGACCCAAATTTAATTGGTAGTCAAACAATAAGATGGGAAGGTGAAGAAACCACTTCTGTTATCATACGAGCCTATAACCAAGGTTAACGGTCACAAAAATTAGAAATTATTCGGCAAAAACGATGCGTTTATTACACAAATAAAATTCCTAGCTACAAAACAAAAAGGAAAAGCCAAGATAAATGATATGATCATGATCTAGATATATATCTATCTATATTAGACATGTTAGAAAATTATTAGTCATGTAAAAATGAAGTTTAACATAAGATTGGAAGTTCTAGCATTACACTCCTCATATAATAATATTTGAACTTTTTTCATCTAGACTATTCGTATCATTTGCAGGCATCCAAACAAACGTATATACTTTTAGCTTATTAAAATGCCGACAGCATTGAATTATGCCTTCAAACAATAAAAATGGAGTTATCAGTGGTCGTCAGTTCTTTTGTATATGAAGACGGTTCACTATCTCAAGGTCAAAATTATAGCTTATATAATTTTAAAGTGAATATTATAAACTAAGTTTACAAAATAAATGTATGATGAGTCCTAAATATGGCCTATACAAAGCCGTTACTGATTTAATTTGAATGTTTTCCTCTAATATTAACTCAATATAAATTAGGATTATGTAGTTTAGCTAGCTAGAGTTTATTATATTCACACGTAATACATGACCACCTTGGAAGTCTCTGGAAGTTTAAATTTTATATATATTGTTAGAACCGGTATTCAAAACTGTGAAGCTGATTTCTTCTATTTGAACAAACCCAAAAGCTGATCTTCTTCTATTCGAACGAACCTAACGAATTCGAAAGACTAACTCCAGATTTTGTCAAAACGCACAGCATTACTTAAGGAACAAAGCGACTCACGCAACAGTTGTACGATTTTTCTTGACACTTTCAAAATAAACAATCCAAACATGAAGCCCAACTAAGCCAACCAAAACTTAAAACATAAAAAGAGAGTCAAAACGACTCACACGACTCAATATATATATATATATATATAGGGATATAGGGAGGATACAGCAATTGATACTTAAAAATCCATGATCATATATACATCCAAGTATTTCTGCGTTCGGTCACCAATCTTTTACGTAAAGTCTGGAGTCTCTTCTCATGTTCTTCTTTCTCTCTTTCCTATTTTCCTCATATTAAAGCATATTGAGCTACTACTTTTCTTTTAGACCATCCAAAACTGTAGTAATTGCATGCGACTAATACGGTATATCTTATTTTAGGATTTCATGTTCCAAAATTTCTTTCTAGATTCCTCCTCCATTTATTTAATAATGTTATTTTATATGAAATATTATTGATTTTCTGAAACTCTAAGGAAATTAACATCCCTAGTTAGAACCATATACGTACGTGAAACATGAATCTAATTTGTGCTTGATAATAAACCCACGTCGTTTAACAATCCACAAATTCAAAAGTATACTATATATGTACATATGATAAACCCTATATACGGAACTTCATCCTATATCGAACTTTAATTTGGCGCTTCACATTAAAAAAAAATGTTTATAGTGTTTTGAATATTGCTATATATATATATATATATATATTCTTTTTTCGTGGTTTTCCTGGGACCTCAAACTTGAGGCATCTCTTCTGAAAACACCATGATTCATAGCGTTGAAACCAAGTTTCAAAAAGGACCCCACAAGTACAATCCACAGACAATTTTATTTTAGTACTATTTATTATATCAAAATTTAAGTTTATTATTTTCTATTTTTAAAAATTTTACAACGGTATCTCGACTTTTAAATTTTTTTTTTTATACTTTAGAGTTATTTTTTAGGATATAAAATGATAAAATTATTCTTATTATAAAAATTTATCTGTTAATTAAAATTTTAAAAGAAAAAAAAGATTTTAAAAATTATTATACCTGTAGAGCATAATTTTTTTTAAAAAATTCATCTCTTCAAAATTCTTTTTAAAATCTTTTTTTTCTTCAAAATTCTAGTCAACAGATGAATTTTGCCAATAAGTTTATCTTTTCGTGCCATAAAAAATAGTTCTGAGATACTAAATTTTTTTTTAAAAGGTTAAGGTACTGATATTAAATTTTTAAAAACAGAGAATATCAGACTCAAATTTCGATACAATAGAGGGTACCAAAATAAAACTTTCTCTTATATAAATCCCATTTCTAGCGGTCAAACAAGCTCACTGCCGTTGGATTATAATTCCATCAACGGTTCAAAATCTCCCAACCCAATTACCCTCCAAATTTCAAAACTTCGTTATTACATGCCCACCACCACAAAAAAAAAAAAAAGCAAAAGCGTCTCTACACTAACAACGATCAACGAGTGAGCCCGTTTAGTTGGATGATTCGTTCTCTGATTCGAATCATGATTCATAGTTCGTTACAGTATTTTCTCTTATAAAAAATACACGTAAATCTCATGGTTCTAATTCATGAACCAAACGGATTATCTGGAGAAATATAATTTATTAGTTTTAGTCAAGAGAATTAAACATTAATCGATCATTAATTATATATGGTCCGTTTAATTTGTTGATTTGAGTTGAGATGTGACTTTATATGAGAATTTTTTTACTGTAACAAAAAATTAGATATAATTATTTTTGAATTTTAAATTTAAATTAGTGAAATGAACGAGGTCATATTATTTTATAATTAAATCATTTAAAAATCTCTTATAGATTACGCTCCAAGTTTTCAAATATTCCCACTTTTATATACAACCATAAGGTCCTTTACCAATATCATTCCCAGCAACAAAGCAAAAAAGTTGTCAACAGAAACAATTTAAACTTTTTTCCTTTTCTTGCAGAAAAAGAGATCATTTGAGAGAGGATTTTGCGATTATTTTGATGGCAGCGAAGCTTTTGGCGTTGGCATGCATTCGGAACGAGAGCCGCGGTGGCAGCAGCGGGCTGTCGCCGCGGCCGCACTACCCGTCGATGCCGAAGTACCCGAAGGGCGTGGCGGCGGAGGAGATGACGGCGGAGGCTGAGAAAAAGGCGCTATTCGCCGTCTCCGGCATGACATGCGCGGCCTGCGCCGGATCGGTGGAGAAGGCCGTCAAGCGCCTCCCCGGGATCCGTGAGGCCGTCGTCGACGTCCTCAACGGCCGCGCTCAAGTCCTCTTCTACCCCAATTTCGTCAACGTAAGTTCATCGTCATCATCAGCTTTTCATTATTATTATTATTATTTTCTCGTACAATTTCCCTTTTTTTTTTGGGGGCTCTTTATTAGAAATGATAAAATCAAGTTATGTTTGTTTTGATATTGTTCCTTTCTAGTGCTGATTTTTGCTATTTTTATGCGACTGTGTTTGCATGTAATTAACGAGAATGATTTGAGATTTTTTTTTTATTTGCGAAGGAATGTTAATTTGTCCGAGTAACGTAATTAAGTTGAGAGCTTCTTTTTCTTTTTTCTTTTTTAATCTTTCCTTTTTTGCTCTATTGAGAATTGGAAAATTTGGCTTGTTTGTTTTTCGACCCTATATATTTCTTTTTTCTAGTGTTTGTTTTTTTTTAAATTTTCCCTTTTTCATATTTATTTCTGAAATCTCAATAGTTTATATACTTTGATATTGCATGTTGTCAACTTTGATCGCTTTTCTTCTTTTTCACGAAAACCTTATGAGTTTCAATTTATTACTTTAGTGTCAGTTAGGTCGTTATCTGTTTTGGTAATTTGGTAACAATTTATTGCAAAGCTAAAGGGGAAAAAGAAGAAATATCGGAAATTAATTTCTTTTTCTTTTCCTTAAAGTTGTCGTTAATATCGGAAATTAATTTCTTTTTCTTTTCCTTAAAGGTGTCGTTTTGTGTCTCACTAGCATCTTTTTCAAGAGATTTTAATTTTGGGTACCCCGTCCACGCCGTTCTTTTCTTTCCTTTTCATTTCAATTTCGGACCAAACTATTTAAAAAAAAAAAAAAAAAGTCGCACCAAACTTTTGCTCATTTTCCGGACTGCGACTGCCTCAAACAGTTTAGATAAATGTTTCCCACGACTTGTTTTCTTTCTGTCCAGAAAATTCTCGTTACTATGAGAAATGAATTAAGAATTAATTACATAATTATATCTCATCGACTCATAAGTTTAATTATTTCTCAATTAAAATTTTTATAAAAAGTTTTTGAAAAATATTTAAAATTCAAAATCTTTTTCGTTAAAAAAAAATCAAAATCTTTTGTTTTTTCTGAACTTTGATGTTCTTCAAAGTTTTTATTTTCTAATTTATGAAATATTTTTCATAAAATATTTTTGAGTATTAATTATGTCCTTTCACTCAATTCTTTTCCTTCAGAAAATACGCAGAGGAATGAAATTAAAATAAGTTTTTTTTTTAAATTTGACCGAGAAGAAAATATCAGCAACAACCAGTTTTATTACGGGACAACTCATGATGTTCATATCGATAGTATTATGTGCCTCTGCATCTAGTATTGGGTAGACCTCATACAATAACTGTCCTAACTCTACCGTAATTTTTTGTTTCATTTCTTCTAGAACGATCACAAATACTTTTTTGATTATGGATCTACTAACAAAAATTCAATGCGTAACTGATGACTTTCACCACATCAAGGTGACACTCTACCACTGAGTTATATCCCTTCTCTTGTCCCCCATCGAGAAATAGAATTGACTACACCTAAGGCAAATGGTCGAGAAACTCAACGCCAATATTTTTGAACAATTTGGAGTCGGGCCTTCTTTTTGCACTATTACAGATACAAAAATAATGGGAAAATTTGTAGTTTCTGAAAGCAGAACATTTGGAAGATAGTTAAAAATAAAAGGTATAATTATGCAGTTAACCCAATGAATTAATTTGTCGTTTTTGGTATAAGTTGTGAGGCTATAGGCATCAGCCAAGTCCCTTACAAACTTTCTATGGGCAAGAGAAGTTGGTGCAGCTAATTAAGATTACCTTTTCATGATTGTTATTTCTAATTTAATTATAAGCTTGTTAACAAATTATTACTTTTTTTTTCTTCATTGTTACCATGCACTTTGGTTGGTGAACTGTAGCTTAGTACCGTAATAATTTTGTATAGCAAGAAAGTTTGAGTCAGCAATTTCAGAGGCAATTTTACATTTTTTTTTTGGCTGAATCACATGTAGTAGATTGCCTCCGACCAATACTAGTTACCACTGAACAATCATTATCATTATTATTATTATTTTTAGTACTGCATTAAAATCTCCCACCAAAGTAGTCATTGAAGGGTCTGAAGCTGCCAAGTACTCATGATAGAAGAATTTTGCTAAAAGTTTTATAACAAGTCAGAGTTTTAGTCTTGAGCTGCAAGGGTTTGCGTTAATTGTTTTGTTCTGAAGCCGCATTGCTGGTACCATTTTTCAGGAGGAGACCATTCGCGAGACGATCGAAGATGTTGGATTTGAAGCCACGCTGATTCAAGGCGAGACAAGCGAGAGGTCTACGCAAGTATGTCGAATACGTATAAAAGGCATGACATGCACGTCTTGCTCCTCCACCGTGGAATCAGCATTGCAAGCAGTTCATGGCGTGCAAAGGGCACAAGTCGCCTTAGCTACCGAAGAAGCAGAAGTTCTCTACGACCCAAAAGTCCTCACCCACAATCAGCTCTTGCAAGCTATAGAAGACACTGGATTCGAAGCCATTCTCATCAGTTCTGGGGAAGACATTACCAAGATAGACCTCCAAGTCGAAGGTGTACGAACAGAACGTTCGATGAGAATTATCGAAGAGTCCCTCGAAGCGCTTCCAGGTGTTCAGGCTATAGACTCAAGTCCTGACGTGAAAAAATTCTCCATTTCTTATAAACCAGATATGACAGGGCCGAGAACTTTCATCAACGTGATTGAGACAACCGGGTCTAGGCGATTCAAGGCGACAATATTTCCCGAAGGAGATGGAGGGAGAGAAACTTATAGAAAGGATGAAATCAGGCAATACTACAGGTCATTCATGTGGAGTTTGGTTTTTACCATTCCAGTGTTTTTAACCTCCATGGTTTTCATGTATATCCCTGGAATTAAGAACGGTTTGGATACTAAAGTGGTAAACATGTTGAGTGTTGGGGAGATTATAAGATGGGTGTTGTCCACTCCAGTTCAATTCATCATAGGTTGGCGGTTTTATGCTGGTTCTTACAAGGCGTTGCGTCATGGTTCTGCTAATATGGATGTCTTGATTGCCTTGGGAACAAATGCAGCCTATTTCTACTCTGTCTACTCCGTGTTAAGAGCCGCTACTTCCCCACATTTCAAGGGTACAGATTTCTTCGAGACGAGCTCAATGTTGATTTCTTTTATTTTGCTCGGGAAGTATCTAGAGGTGTTGGCCAAAGGAAAGACTTCCGAAGCCATTGCAAAGCTCATGGACTTGGCACCAGAGACGGCCACCTTGCTGACGTTGGATGAGGAAGGAAATGTGACAAACGAAGAAGAAATCGACAGTCGGTTGATCCAAAAGAATGATGTGATCAAGATCATTCCGGGGGCAAAAGTTGCTTCGGATGGTTTTGTGATATGGGGACAAAGCCATGTCAATGAGAGCATGATTACAGGAGAAGCGAGGCCAGTGGCGAAAAGGAAAGGTGATCAAGTGATTGGAGGTACCCTGAATGAGAATGGTGTATTGCATATTAGGGCAACGAATGTTGGATCGGAAAGTGCGCTTTCGCTGATTGTAAGACTTGTTGAGTCAGCCCAGATGGCTAAAGCCCCAGTACAGAAATTTGCAGATCGCATTTCGAAATACTTCGTTCCATTGGTGAGTTATGTGTTCTATACTAAAAAAAAAAAAAAAAAAGTTTCTTTCTTGAATTCCAATTTTTTAAGTTGTGATTTGTTAATTTTTGACTTTCTTTTTAGGTAATCCTACTTTCTTTCTCAACCTGGCTTGGCTGGTTTTTGGCCGGAAAATTCCATGGTTATCCAAAGTCTTGGATACCATCTTCCATGGACAGCTTTCAGCTTGCTCTCCAGTTTGGGATTTCTGTCATGGTTATAGCCTGCCCTTGTGCTCTTGGCCTCGCGACTCCTACAGCAGTCATGGTTGGTACTGGAGTAGGCGCGTCTCAAGGCGTACTCATCAAAGGAGGACAGGCATTAGAAAGTGCACACAAGGTTAGAACAATTCATACCTTATTTCAAATACTACACAGTAGTCATGTTTAATCATAACTCAACCATATCTTTTATTGTTCATGTAATGAAACATTCTTAGATTGGTACTTCTGGTTCTTAAATAATGATCTTGTAGGTGAACTGCATTGTATTTGACAAGACAGGAACGCTCACAGTTGGAAAACCAGTGGTTGTTAGCACGAGACTCCTGAAAAATATGGTGCTTGGAGAGTTCTACGAACTTGTCGCTGCTACCGAAGTAAGATTCTTTCTGTGAAAACTTATAGCCAATCTTAGTGTGGTCTAAAATGGTTTAAGAATAGTTGTTGAACTAATTAATAAGCATTCCTATATATCCTTTTTTCCTTTTTTATCATGTTGATTAGGTGAATAGTGAGCATCCATTGGCTAAAGCCGTTGTTGAGTATGCCAAGAAGTTCAGAGAAGAAGAGAATCCTGTTTGGCCAGAAGCACGAGACTTCATTTCGATCACTGGCCATGGGGTGAAAGCCATTGTTCGAAACAAGGAAATAATTGTTGGAAACAAGAGCTTGATGTTGGAGCACAACATTGCCATTCCTTTAGATGCAGAAGATGTACTATCAGAAGCTGAAGGCTTGGCTCAAACTGGGATTCTTGTATCAATACACGGAGAAATAGCCGGAGTTCTAGCCATATCCGATCCCCTCAAACCGGGTGCCAAGGAAGTGATTTCAATACTGAAGACTATGAAAGTAAGAAGCATCATGGTAACAGGTGATAATTGGGGCACTGCCAATTCCATTGCCAAAGAGGTTGGAATAGAGGCTGAGTCAGTTATAGCAGAAGCTAGGCCTGAACAAAAAGCAGAAAGAGTTAAAGATTTGCAGGTACATATTATATAACATGGACAAGGAGAGAAACTTGTTTACTTAGGTTATGAAAGTTTCCAATATATTTTTAGACTGTTTAATGTAGAACAATTAAGAAAGAGAGAAGATAAATAAAAGAGAAATTATAGAAGAAGAGAGAAGAATATGAATAATAGGGCAAAAGTTTGAATATTCAATTTCATTAATTAAGTATGTAGTATGAGGGCCTGTTTAGTTCGTTGATTCGAGTTTAGATGTGATTTTATGTGAGAGCTTTTTACTATAGTAAAAAAGTTAAATGTGACTGTTTCTGAAAATTTTTTACTGTAGTAAAACTTGAATTCTAAACTCGAATCGGTGAAATGAACGGGGCCTGAATTACCTCGAATTTAGAGGGGAGTAAAAAACCAAAAAAAAAAACAGAAGGAAAAAAAAGCTAATACAAATAGGCCCAAAACGTTATTTACGGAAATTGTAGAAAATATGCCAATATGAAAAGCTTAAGAAATTATATAGGCCAATTTTTAGTTATAGAAATTAATAAGCCATAACTTGTCAAGTTATGGTTCATAACCAGATAAGTTATGGACAAACTTGTCAAGTTATAGTTCATAGCCAGACAAGTTATGGTTCATAACCAGATAAGTTATGGACAAACTTGTCAAGTTATAGTTCATAGCCAGACAAGTTATGGATAAAAATCGTAAATTATGGACAATAACTTATCAAGTTATGGTTCATAACCAGACAAGTTATGGACAAAAATAGTAATTTGGCCTATTTATTAACTTATATAAACTATTGGCCTATTAATTTTAATTCATCTCAAGTCTTAACTTATTTTTCTCTTTCTCCCTCGACTCTATTAGGGGGTTTAAAATGAATTTTTTAAAGAATTTTTTCCTTATAAAAGGGGGTCAGCAAGGTCTGGCCCATGGGGGCTTTCAGGGTAGGCTGGGCCAACCATATGCATGAGTGGGGCTGAGCTGGCCCGGCTCGGCCTGATTGCCATTTAGGCCTCCTATCCAACTTGACTCGAGTTTATACTTCTAACTAAAACTACATTGTTGTCACTAACAGAAAATTTACTGATACAGTTTTGGGAAACTCTAATAAAATACTAGGAAAAAAAAAAATACCACTTTCTATTTTTGTTCTTATTGCTCGTCACTTTCATTGTTTAAAATCGCTTAAATCTCTTTTTTTTTTTTTTCAATTCTTTTTCCTATTGCTTGTCACTTTCATACTTGTAGAATTGCTCAGATTTCACCTTTTTGTCCACAGGTTTCAGGCTACACAGTAGCAATGGTAGGAGATGGAATAAATGACTCACCAGCATTAGTGGCAGCAAATGTGGGAATGGCAATTGGTGCTGGTACAGATATAGCCATTGAGGCAGCTGATATTGTTCTCATGAAGAGCAACTTGGAGGACGTCATAACTGCCATTGATTTATCTAGAAAAACCTTCTCTCGTATTCGTCTGAACTACATTTGGGCTCTTGGTTATAATGTGCTCGGTATCCCTATTGCTGCCGGAGCCCTTTTTCCGTCGACCGGATTTCGATTGCCCCCTTGGATTGCTGGAGCTGCAATGGCAGCCTCTTCTGTTAGTGTCGTTTGCTGCTCTTTGCTCTTGAAGTATTACAAGAGGCCCAAGAAGCTGGATAACCTTGATATTCGTGGAATAAGCATTGAGTAGTGGTTAGTAATGAATGTTTTGGAACAATGTCGAATTAAGTTTACCTAGGATATGTTTGAATAAAGCTGGTTGTTTGTTTTGTGAAAAAAAAAAAAAAAACAAATGTATAACTTGCAGGTTTGTTTAGCTTGTAACATGTATATATATGAATGGATTTCCTTAAATCTTTAGGTGAATGGACTTTTCGTGCAATCAAGTGAATTGGCCTGATGATAGAAGCAGTAATCATCATATGGATTCTTCAATTCAAGGTTTCTGTTTCTGTTTTTGTGTGTGTTTCTTTTCTTTTTTACTCATTTTTTCAATATTATAAGTATTTAAATCAGGTATATAATGACGAATTTCCTTAACGGTATAAATGAAACTTCTTATGCTATAGATTCTGATAGGCTGAGCCTGGCCTAAGTACTAGCCAAAAAAAAAAAAAGGTTTGGACTGGCCTGACTCGCCACTATAATAAGTGCTTTCTACCTCCATCAGATTGATTTTGCCTATGAAAAACAAGTTACTATGGAAATGTCACGCCAGAGGTTTAGAAGATCTCCAAGGGACTAACCGTTTCATAATTTTAGTCAAAATAGCTAAAGATTTTTATTTAAAATTGTTTTCACCTTGTTTTTGAGAACGTTTTACACTTGTTTTGAGATAGAAAAACGAAAACGGTCTATAAACCGTGTGTGGTTAGCAAATACTTTAAAAACGAGAACGAAAACAAAATACAGTGAAAAGGGTTTTTATTAAGGAAATAATTTATGGTTAAAAGTTATTTTTTTTTTCATTTTCATTTTCATTTTCGAAGCTATAACTTAATACACTTTCTTAAAATAAACCTAAACACAATTTCACCTTTTTTTTATACCTAAAACAATATCTAAGAAAATTAAACATGCAAACGCAATTTTAAAAACAATATCAACACCATTCCTAAAAAGTTTTCATTTTTACTTTCACATTAAAATCAAAAACATTTTGTAAACCCTATCAAATGTATTTTTTTCTCCTCCAATCTAACTATTAGCCAAATATTTAGCTATTTTAGAGAATACATTTGGTACTGGCCAAATGTAGCTAGCAAATAAGCCAGCCATTTAGTTTTTATTATTTTATTTATTTTTTGATTTGACATAAAGAAAAAGTTGAAAAAGTTATTTATATTTTAAATTCAAGAAATATGAAAATAATTCATATTTAGCTTTAATTAAAATAATGAGTATAATTAGAGTGACTCACTCAAAAATTATTAGTTAAAATAGTTTTCTTACTATTTTAAATAAAATTTAACTAAAATTTTAAGAGCCCTGTTGGTGATGCTCTTAAAAATACCAAATATTTACTTGATAGTACTGTATCTTAGTACTGACGTTATCATGTTAGCCACCAATGGCTGCTAGTATCCTACTGTGATACTAGGAGGTGTTTTCGGTGATATTAATTAAAAATTTCAACAATCGATGATCACTGGCTAAAGTTTTATTATATCAACTTCAGAAAACATATAAAGATTTAAGAGAAGGCATAAAACTAAAGAACCGAGTTAAAGGGAACAAATTTCTAATCTTCTCAAAATGTAAACTTAGGTCTAATACCACTTATAAAGTCTAATTATTATTCACTCGTCCTATATTTTTGCGGGCTGTTTGAAAAATATTTATTTTCTTATGACAAAAAAAGATGATTTCACTTTTAATATGTTAACAATTAGAGGATTAGAAAGTGAATTAAAAAGATAGCATCTAATATTTCTACAACATTATGTCTGGCCTTAATTCTCTTTTTCATGTATCTAACCTTTAGTTTAACAAAATAAGAAAACAAAATGATAAATCGTTCATATGTCTATATAAATAAATATATATATATATATACACACACACACACACACAAAATGAGCTGCTACATATGCTATATGTACACATTCTCCCAACCAAAACCTATTTTATATTATGTTAAGCTAAGGTTGAGGTTACCTGTCCGATTGTGACACAAAACAACTACCAAAAATATTACGCAAGTTTCCTATGAAAAAAAAAGCCCAGACAAATTTTGTGTGTTTTCTTTTCTTTTGAAAACAAGATATTCTATGTTACTTAGAAGGCAAGTAACAAGATAGTTTATAATGAAAACATTTCTCCCTTAACTTGATAATTACTAAAGTATATCAGAAACAAAGGCATGCTTCATGCATGGGAAGCGTAATTTCTTGGATTTTGAGGCAGTTTATATATATATATATACACACACACACACACATACACAAACATGACGTCAAGTCTCTTATATCATGGCATAATTCAATGCTTTAATATTGTTACAAAAATAATTAAAAAAAACAAGTAAAACCAAACGAACGCAAGCAATTTCAAATGCACAAGCAACTGGAAGTTCTAAGAATGTGGATTTTGGTTTTGTTGGGTAATTAAAGACCAATGAGTGTGACTACTCTGAAATTTGTATCAATCAAACAAGCTTTAATCCGTTAAAACATCATTTGTTTCATCTGTTTAATTAAGGTCGCATGGTTTATATATATGTAACCAATATTCTTTTTAGGATTTCTTGATTATTGTTTAACATGATTTGATTTTAACCAAATAAAAAAAAAAATCTTGATGGGTTATATGTTAAAAGAAAAATGTCAACTTACTCATCATGACCAATCACATATCTAATTACACGTTCGAATGCTTCCAAAGTGAATGCTCATCAAATTACAGTACATCAATATTTTAATGTTATGGTCAATATTAATTGGCATCATGGGGTGCTTTTCTTTTTAATTAAAGAGTTGATCTATAAAATAAGGTTAGTCAGCCAATTAAATATATAAAGGTAAATTCAACTTAATTTGCAGTACTGGTAAAAGTAAAAGAGATCCAAAACCATTAAACGAAACATTATTTTTCCCTGTAAATATTGCGCTTTAGGTGTGTAAGCCACTAAGAAAATATCATAATATATTCATAACAGAATAATCGTGTTCTTCCAATTAAGCTTTCTGTTTGTGGCCATACATTTAGTGACCCGCCATTAGTAATTTCTGGACAAGATTTAAAGAGACGCTATCAAATATTATAAAATTTAAAGGCCTAATTTTGAAAATTGTAGGCGTGCATATATGACATAATATGTCCTTTATGCTTATAAAAGTACACACTAGTATTGGAATTTACCGTTTGTCCGGTTATTTCCACCAATTAATGGGTACTATACAAAATGAGTGCGTTGATTAGAAAAAATTAATTACAGTAGTTCTCTTTTTTTCAGACATTTATATTAGAAATTATCTATTTTGTATACTCTTTTAATATGATATGATTTCAACCATATTCAGCGATTAAAAACTAACTCTACCGATAAACCGGCATATTAGAAAACGTCCCACAAAATAGTAATAATAAGAAGAATCTTTTGCTGAAAATCGTTGTTATATAGTTTAACATTGCTCCACAAAACTTTAATTTTGATATACGTAGTGCTATATCCAACAAATGCAATCTTATAAAAATATAGAAAAGTTGCTATACGTTATATCTTTTCTTTTGATCTTTGTTTTTCAAGTTATACAAAGGCAACATTTAGAACTATTGACCAGAGCAAGACCAACAAAAACGTTTGGTTCGTGAATTCAGAATCATTTTTGTTTTACGTGTATTTTTTGTGAGAGAAAACACTGTAGCGAGCCATGAATCATGATTCGAATCATGGCACGAATCTCCCTTCCAAACGTCAACCTTCAAGATTGTAGACATGAGCGTGGCTTTACCACTAGATTTAAGCTTAGAACCAAAACTAATCGTTAATAATTTTAAACTTGATTTATCATTTTTTAAATATAGATATTATCTGTCAAATATATTTTACTCAAGCTAGTCTTGCACTGAGTGATGCTATTCAGTTGGAATATAAAAACTAATTGTATTTGCTATAATTTGTAATAAATTATTTTATTTATTTATTTATTTTTGGTTTAAAGTAAAACATGGTATCCTCCGGTAAATAAGAAATAAAGATTACAAGTGGAATCGGACTCACCACCCCCATGGAAAACCATCCCCAACCCCATGCCAGTGACCAAAGGGTCTTGGGCTGTAACAAATTAAAAGCTTTTAGCTGAGAGAATTGATAGTCTAATCTTACATCAAAGAGTAGGTCTGAAGAATAATTAAGATCACCCCATAATGGAGCATTTAATTAATTACATATCTATTCTTCATTAACGTTCTCATTGACCTTAATAGCTCAAAATTCTTTCGAAATTAAATTGGTTATTAGTTAGCTAAGGTCTAATACCATCAGTGCCCACTGACTTTATGAAGGCCAATCTTTGTCAACTTTATCTCACAATCTGTGTACATTTTCCTGTATTTAGGTCCGTTCATTTTACCGATTCGAGTTTTACTACAGTAAAAAGCTCTCAGAAACAATCATATCTAATTTTTTTGTTACAGTAAAAAGTTATCACATAAAGTCACATCTCAACTCGAATTAAAAATTCGAATTAGTGAACTATGGTAATTATTTGCAATACGTTGTGCAATTCGACTAGACCAAAAAGAGAGATATCTGAATTACGTACAGTGAAAGCGTGCATGGCATATGCCGGATCAATGAAGAATTTGCACATTAAATAATAAAGTGATCTGATGATAAATATATGGGCCAATCCCGCATTAGTTTTAATTAGGCTTAATTAATTTGACACGATTTTCCTTCTTCTCTTTATTTTTTTATGTCGTTTTCTTCATTTTATTTGCATGTATGACTTGGCGGGGGGGAAACCTAATTTAACCAAAAGAGAAACATGTGCATATGCCTAATAACAGAACAAAGCACATAGGTTCTCCATTTTTGTTGTATATTTATTGTTCCGTTATTTTCGGTTGTGGATTTCCTATCTCATTACCAATGAACACCGTTCATTCCTTTAGCTAAAAAACAAAAACATTACCCATTTTTTTAATCTTATTTAGTTATTCCTTTTTCTTTATCAATTATGGTTGTTTGTTACTCGTTTCTTTCCTCTCTCTCTCTCTCTCGCTCTCTCTCTCTCTCTCGCTCTCTCTCTCTCTCTCGCTCTCTCTCTCTCTCTCGCTCTCTCTCTCTCTCTCTCTCTCTCTCTCTCTCTCTCTCTCTCTCTTGAGAGAGGAAAAGATCAATTTTGCTTTTGAGTATAGTATACATCAAGCAGGAATTATCACGACCCTTTATCTCATCCTCCATATTCTACTAACAAAAACTTTAGTGCCATGTACGTTGTTTTTTTAGCTTGATACAAATATAATACTTTCTAGCAAAAAATAAAAATAAGATATAGTACATAAATGATGAACATGCTATAATATGTATATAATTATATGTTTTTACCAAGTAAGTAGTAATATTCAAATCTTATCATTCAGGTTATAAGCAACGTAGTACCCATTCTAAAACTCTAGAGACTTTTAGGGCCCGTTTAGTTCGTTGATTCGAGTTAAGATGTTATGTTATGTGAGAGCTTTTTTACTGTAGCAAAAAAATTAGATGTGACTATTTCTGAGAACTTTTTACTGTAGCAAAACTCGAATTCTAAACTCGAATCGGCAAAGTGAACGGGGCATAATATTAACATTTATACACAGTTTAGTTGGGATCCTACATATATATAGCCAATTGAGTAATTAACAAAAGATTAAAGCCCCCCACAAAATGGCGGGACCCACATAAAACTATAAAAAAAAAAACTGTACAGTGTGCCTATTATTCTCGTCTCTATGATTTATTTATCTTTGCAATGATGGCCACCAAAACCAATGCTGAAACCAACTATTTAAACACCACTTGCAGTTTAATTCACAAACTTGCCTCTTCTGTAGTATCCTCATCACAATACTCAAAACTTCAACGAGCTTATATATAATTAAGCTAAAAACCACATTCATCATGAGTTCACCACAGCACATGAACCAAACTTTTCTCCAAGCTTTAGAAAGATGAGAGAGAGAGAGAGAGAGAGAGAGAGAGAGAGAGAGAGGACAATATTGCATATAAAGAGATTACTTTGTAAGGGTTAATTTGGACCCCACGCAACAAAAGAAGCTCAATCTCATCAACAACAACAACACAAAACATTCAAATAAATATATTTATATGTCATGGCTTCAAAGTATGTTCCTTGGATTTGCATTTGCAATGAGAGCTTGGGTCCCACATCGCCGAGACCCCGCTACCCGTCGATGCCGACATACCCGAAAGGGCTGTCGCCTGGCGGCGGCGGCGCGGAGGAGAAGGCTGTGTTCGCCGTCACCGGAATGACGTGCTCCGCATGCGCCGGTTCGGTGGAGAAGGCCGTCAAGAGGCTTCCCGGAATAAGAGAAGCCGCCGTTGATGTCTTGAATAACAAAGCCCTTGTTCTTTACTATCCCAACTTCGTCACTGTAAGCCTTTTTTTTGTTTTTTGTTTTTTGTTTTCTCACACTTTTCAGAAAAGGAGATAACGGTGTTTGTGGAATTAACTTTTCGTCTAAAAGCAGAGTTTTCATGCGTTCCATCAATACTTCACACACGTACACGTCCACTTGAAATCAAAATATAAAATAATATAGGTGCAATAATTAAAGAGTTAATATAATCAGTCTTTAGTTCTTTTTTTTTTTTTTTGGTTGGAATTCTCATCTTTTGAGACATCTTGAGGGCCAGTGAAAATTTTCTGAAAAATGTTTTAAGATTGACTGGATCTTGAAGTACTGAAATAAGGAGTTAACTTTGTGTGAAATAGAATATTGTTAATTTTGTTAATCCATGCAAAAACCATTTATTTGTGCACCAATTTTCTGTTAATGTGCGTCTCCTTCCTCTCAATTTGTTTGTTGAGGACTCTTTAAAAAAAAAAATGGTGTTTGTTGAGGACTCTTTAAAAAAAAAAAAAGTGTTTGTTGAGGACTCTAGTTCCTTTTTTCACTACTGCTTGGAAGTTAATATATGTTTGGTTATATAGTGACTCATGCGTATGTGAACCTATACAGAAAAAAGAAAAAAAAAACACATATATTAGTCTATAATAGATAGATATATAAAAGAGTGTAAGAGTGTGTTTGGTTCAAGGATTCGTACTATGGTTCGAATCATGGTTTGTAGCTCGCTACAGTGTTTTTTCTCACAAAAAATACACGTAAATCGAGAATGATTCTGAATCCATCAACTAAACCTAACATAAAAGACTATTTGTACGAATCTTTTACTGGAAAGCCGTAGATCATGTGCTATGTTCGATAGTGGATACCTTTCCTAAAAGAGTTTCCAATTATTGTAGCAGGTGAATCAGGGAGATACATTTTAGGGAGTTGAGATTTAATTAGGTCTTTAGATTTTTTTCTCTTTTTATAATTAGTCTTTATACCGAAAATTTTTTTATCTTAAACCTTTAAAGAAGTGTCTCAAATTTAATCTCTCAGTTACATTCCCTTAGATTTTAGAGTGTAAAAGTTAGATAATCTTATAATTTCACCTCAATAAATGAGTACTCTAGTAAAATTAGTATAAATAAACCAAAATATAAAAAATTGAACCATAGATTTATATCATATTTTTATTTACTGTCTTGTTTTTTGTTAGAAGTTTTGTTTAGAGTATCTTTTAACTATCTGTCTAATTAGTAAGGTACATGTCTAACATCTATTATGAATCTACTAATCCGGGTAAAAAAGCTAGAGAAAATTACAAAATTTACTCTTAAAAGTACGTGAGTATGGAATTTTACTCATCTCTCTTGATAAATATCCTTTTGTTAATGTAATTATTGGACTAAAAAGATTATGAATCAAGAGTAAAAGGTAAAAATCATAACCCATGTACTTTTAAGCGGTATTTATCAAGATTACTTAAAAAATTATTGTTCTCAGAAAAGAAAAAAGAGAGTGAAAACTATATATATTATATTTAAATTATATTCTTTTGTTTCTAAAACTACAAAATTGTAACTAAATTTTTATCTTCGAGATTTGCTAATATGTCTCTTGAATTTAATAGATAGTATAACTGATTAATTTATGTGACATTGTGGGTTTTATGTAAAATCACAACTAATTTATATTACTATCTTTTTCTCTCCTAATGCATTAACTATTTGGTTGTTTCGGTTATCAACTTTCACTTTTGATTAATTCTTTTTATTACTAGTTTAAACTAATCAAAAGCACCTCTGTATGATTCAATAAAATTTTCTATTATTACATTTTTTTCGCTTATGTTTCTTGTACCAAGATTAGCGGGATGTATAATTTAAAAGTTCACTTATATATGCAACATGATAAACTAAACAATTAAGCACAACATATATATATATATATATATATATGTATAGAAGAAGTAGTGTATTCGTTACCTCTTTAATCACATTTGTTAGATAGCTTTCTTTGATTACTATAATTGTTAGAAGTTTTTGTTAAATTGTGGAGTCTAATTAGTGAATTGTGGTAAAATGGCTGAAAGATGATGTAGTCTGATCATATTGAGTCGAATCTTTATAAATTTTTTTTAGTAGGAAAAAAAAATTTATAGAGATTCTTTTTGCTTGATTTCTTGTATGCGATTTTATCGCTCTTAGTAGTATAGAATTAGAGCGTCTAATTCTTATCAATTTCAACATCTTACAGGAGGAGAGGATTCGTGAAGCTATTGAAGATGCCGGATTCGAAGCCACTATTATCAAAGAAGAGCCATTAAAGGACAAGTCAATCCAAGTATGCAGAATCCACATAAACGGAATGACCTGCACATCATGCTCATCCACCATTGAATCAGCTCTAAAATCACTTCATGGTGTCCAAACAGCACAAGTTGCCTTAGCAACTGAAGAAGCAGAAGTATATTACGACACAAGACTCATAAGCTACAATCAGATTTTGCAGACAATAGAAGACACTGGTTTTGAAGCCATATTTATAAGTGTAGGAGAAGACATAAGCAAAATAGACATACAAGTTGATGGCTTCAAAACTGACTATTCACTGAAGACAATTGCAAGATCTCTTGAGTCCCTACCCGGGGTTCAAGCCATAGAAACATACCCGGAGCTGAAGAAGATTTCGATTTCGTACAAGGCGGATTTGACGGGACCAAGGACTTTCATCGAAGTGATTGAGTCATCCGGGTCGGGCCATTTCAAGGCCATGATATTCCCTGAAGATCAAGATGGGAGAGAGAGCCGTCGAAAGCAGGAGATTAGGCAATACTACAAGCGCTTTTTGTGGAGCTTGGTTTTCACCATTCCCGTGTTCTTGACTTCCATGGTGTTTATGTACGTGCCTTGGATAAAGAAGGTTTTGGACATCAAGGTTGTGAATATGCTGACCATTGGTGAGATTCTGCGATGGGAATTGGCGACTCCGGTGCAGTTCATCATAGGAAGGAGATTCTATGTTGGATCCTACAAGGCCTTGCGTCACGGTTCTCCGAATATGGATGTTTTGATTGCTTTAGGAACAAATGCAGCCTACTTTTATTCAGTCTACATAGTGTCGAGAGCTGCAAATTCTAGAGATTTCAAAGGGACCGATTTCTTTGAGACCAGTTCAATGCTGATAACTTTTATTCTTTTGGGGAAGTACCTGGAGGTTTTGGCTAAAGGAAAGACTTCTGAGGCAATTGCCAAGCTTCTGAAGTTGGCTCCTGAAACTGCAATACTACTGACTTTGGATGAGGAAGGAAATGTGATAGGCGAGCAAGAGATTCATAGCCGATTGATACAGAAGAATGATGTGATTAAGATAATTCCTGGGGCGAAAGTTGCTTCAGATGGTTTGGTCATATGGGGGCAGAGCCATGTGAATGAGAGCATGATAACGGGGGAAGCGCGGCCAGTGGCTAAAAGAAAAGGCGATACAGTGATCGGAGGCACAGTGAATGAGAATGGGGTGTTGCATATTTTGGCAACAAGAGTTGGATCAGAGAGTGCCCTTTCACAGATTGTGAGACTTGTTGAGTCTGCTCAGATGGCAAAAGCTCCAGTACAGAAGTTCGCAGACCGGATTTCCAAATACTTCGTGCCATTGGTAAGCAAATGAAACATGAATTTTGAGTACTTAAATTACTCTTTCC